ATAAAAACATCGCAACTCCCAAGATAGGGACTTTAACTTAAAAAAAAAAAAAAAAAAAAAAAAAAAATAGAAATGCATAGTTTACTTAATTATATATAGTATAAATTGTAGTTTACTTAAAAAGTATATACAATAGTATAATTTAATAAATAATTTAAATATGCAGTTTATAATTAATAATATAAATAAATATGTAATTAATAATTATTAATATTAGATTTAATAGATTCATTAGATACGCAATTTATATTTACAACATAACTTATATAAATTTATTTTTATTAGTTTATTTCTATATATATAATGTGCAGTCTTTATAATAATTATTTAATTTAGATATCAATATATAGTTATTTATATGAATTATTATATAATTTATTTATATTATATAATATGAAGCGCAGTTTATTACTAAGTTATTATTTATTTATGTGCATAATAATTAATTTTATAATAATAAATATAAATAAGTTAATACAACATATTTTTTAATATGATCATCATGTGCTTAAACATGTAATCGATAATTGTTCATATAAATTCAATTGTTTTGATGATCAGTTTTTTTTAGGTGTTTTCTTTTAAACACCTCATACAGGGCATATTGTACGAGATAATTCTGAATGCTATGCAGAGAATTTGAACCACCTATAGTTGTTGACAGCCTGGGTTATAGAAAGCTAATTCCTTTTCTTGTTCTCTAGGGAACATCTAAGTTTTAGTGAGTAATAAATCCTTGTAAAGGGTAAACATTTTTGTTATGCCTGGCTGGTATAGACTGGATAGCAGGCATCTAACCTAAAGCATAAGTGGCCTGTTCTTCTTAGAATACCCTAGTGAGGCTATAGTCTTCTTGCATAGATGAGAGTTGTCTTGATTTACAGATTAGTGTCTACAAATATGACTCACACTAAAATCTCATGATATGTTAGCTTCTATGTAGCAAGATTTGGTAACTTATTGCTTGTAAGACTAATAACATATCACTTAAAAAGTAATAAACAAAAACGATTCTTTTAGAATTGTTTTTAAAATTTTTAAAAAAATTTCGTCAGTTTTTAAAATGTATTTTATGAAAAATTTTATTAATAAAATAAAATGGTTCTATGAAACTATATGTTTTTTGATATGTTCTACATTTTTGTTAATAACACAAAGTTGATTAGCTTATTAAAATTTTTGTAAAACATGAAAATTCATGTAACAGTGATTTTAAAATGAATGATTTGCAAAGACAACTTGAAAATCGTTTCATCAAAAATTGAGCTAATTTCATGAATATAAATTCATTTGACCTAAAATTTAATATATGAATCCTTGAATATCATCTACATCAACTTTATTAGTATCATACAAGATGTTTTCTTTGAGTGAAGTAGTCAAATTAATAAAATTGGTTCTGTAAACTTTAAAGAAGAAAATTCATCAATAGTTTTTGAATAAAAAAATGCTATATCTCTATGAATTCTTGATGAAACAAGCTCAAATTTTCAGGGAAAAATTTTATATATTTATTCTATAAATCACCTTAATGTGCAGTATTTATTTCTTTTATATAAGTTTTTCGAAATATTAATTATTAATTATTATATTTAGATTATTTATTTATATGTATTATATAATAAAATTTTAAAGTATATAATATAAATATATAATTTGTAAATCATTACTATAAATAATTTATAATAATACATATAAATAAAAAACATAAATAAAGAAAAAATTATTAAGTGTCTAAAAATTTTATTTTTTAAAAATAAAATATGGATGAAAACAAGAAAGAAAATAAAAAGAAAAATTATCAATTTCTTCAAATTTGTAGTACTTCTTACCATTGTTTACCATGTAAAGAAAAATTTAAATGTAAAAAAAATTTATCTGAAAAAGACAAAAATGAAAGAGAAAAAGAATTTAAAATTTCTGGTGTTCTTAAATGTTCATTATGTGATTTGTAAAAACAAAGATTCTAGTACTTCTTACTATACTGAATAACTTTAATTAAGACCATAACTATACTTACCTTAGTAATGTTTTGTGTAAATTATATTTGTAACTTGACTATTCTTTTAAAATGTCTATAATAAAATTATGTAAATCTATTTATTATTTTTAGGATTTACTAATTAAAAAAATATAAATAGACCTCAAGCTCCACTGTTGCAAAAATAAATTTAACTAATATGATAGAAAAACCTTTTATTCTACATGCTTATAATATTTTTTTAATATACAAAAATTGTAACCTTGATCTTGAAGATATATTACAACATATAATTTTTATATTATCAAAAAAACAATATACTATTAAAAATTATATTGTTTCTTTTAACAAAAAAGATATTATTGCTTTTATTACATTAGATAAACCAATTTATACATGTAAAATATCTTTATTTAATATTGATTTTGGTGATATAATCTATCAGCCTAAAATACAATCAATTAAAACAAATTGTTATATTTTAAAACATATTAAAACTAACAAATTTATTTCTAATATTAAAGAATTAAAAGATGACTAAACCCAAATCAAAAAAACAAAAAACATTTGATACTAAAAATGGATTTGATTTATATTCATCTCAATTTTTTTTAACATATTCACGATGCTCTTTGACAAAGAATCAAGTATTAGAAGAAATTAAGAAAATAATTAAACCCAAAAAAATAGATAAAAAATATTATATTTGCAATTATATTATTGCACTTGAATATCATGAAGATGGATATCCTCATATTTATGTTTATCTAAAATTAGATAAAAAATTATGTACAAGAAAAGAAACTTTTTTTGATATTAAAATAGATGATATTATTTATCATCCAAATATTCAAGGTGTTCGTTCACCAAAACAAGTAGAAGATTATATCTTAAAAAATAGAGATTATATTTCCAAATATAAAATAGATAATCTTAAAATTGCTCAAAAAGTTATTGAACGAAAAATCAAGGAAGGCATATATATAACAAGTTCAATGATTGCAAAAGAATATCCAAAAACTTTTGTAATTTATGGAAAACGTTTGCTTGATTGGAAAATTAAAATTGAGGAAGAATATTATAAACCACCTGGTAAACCATTTGTTGAATTTCATTATGAAAATAAACATTGTGGAAAATCAATATATACAGAAAAATATTCAGACAAAATAGCATATCGATTAGATGACAAATAGTTTGATGGGTATGAAGGACAAGAAATTCTAATTATCGATGAATTTACTGAATCTCAATTATATTTTTCAACATTACTAAAAATTTTATCTGGTCAACAAAGACGTTTTGATATTAAAGAAGCTAAAGAAATTAATCGTGTTAAACATATGATTATTACAAGTAACAAAAAATTAAATGATATATATAAAAGTTTTGAATATAATGAAGAACAGTTTGATTGGCAAATCAATGCTATTTGGCATTATAAAAAATTAGATACAGGATTTTCAGAACGTAAATGTGAAAAAAATCCATATTTGAAACAATTACATCGTAAATATTTAAAGCAAATTAAATATCATAATTTTTTTGAAGAAAATTGGGACATTATTAATAATGAATCTGTTAGTAAAAACATTTTTCATAATCAATATAGTAAACTTCAATATGATATTTTATTTCAAGGAGGAGAATTAAATGATGATGATTTACCTACTGAAGAAATAGTTTTACATTTGGCTATTAAAAAAAATCAAGAACAACAAAAAAGAAAAAGAGAAACAGATTCATCTTCTGAATCTGATATTGACTCTAAATAATTCTAATATCAATTTAAATAAGTCAAATTATATATACATTTACAAAAAAAACAAAAAAAATTATATTTACTTATAGTTAATAGTTATTAAATTATTTTATATTATTATTTTATTATTTTATTATTTTATTTCATTTATTATTATTATTATAAATAAAAAATATAAATATACCATAAATTTATTCTTTTTTATGTAATTAAAGTTAAAAATGATTAATGAAACAAAAAAACCAAGCAATTCTGTTCGTTGTTTTGATTGTAGAATTTTAAATCGCAAATGTAAATTCACAAAAAATGAAAACATATGTGATGTTTGTATTTGAAGAAATAAACATTATATACGTGTCTCATCAAAATATTTTAAACAAGAAATTATCAAACTTACTAATACTGTAAAAAGCCATGAATCACGAATTTCTGCATTTGAAAAAAGAGTAAACAAGCTCGAAAAAAATGAGTTATTAATTAAACAAAACATTTCACAACTTTATACTATTATAGAAGAATAATAATTTAAACTCAATTCTTTAGTTATTTTTTTATATATTTAATTTTATTACATATATATCATTAAAAATCTATAAATAAAGCTAATATTGTTTTAAAATTATAAAAAAATCATGTCAAGTCTTTTGTCAAAAGAACAAGCTATTGTAACAGAAATTGATAGTTTACAAACTGAAAATGATAATTTGAAAAGTAAAAATCAAGATTTAAAAAATCAAATAATAAATAAAGAACTGATTATAGAGAATATTAATACTAATAACTTGCAATTAACAGAGAATTATAATCAAATATCAGAAACAAATAAACAATACAAATTGACAATTGTAACTCAAGAATTGCAGATAAAAGAAAAAGATCTATTAATAAAAGAGTATGAAAGAATTTTAAATAATATTCTTGAAAAACTTAATCTAACAGAAAATGAATTATCGAATGCAACAACTTCAGCAGAAAGAGAATTTGATTCTTAATAAAATTAATTCTATACAAGATGACAAAAAAAAATTAAAGCCTTATCGATTATGAATAGTGAATTGCTCGAAGAATTAAATTATCACAAGAATAGCAATTTTAAAAATTTTTCTGATTCAGTAAACAATTATTTTTTAAACTTTGCAATTGGATTTTTAATTGAAATAATTCCAACATATTATTTAAATATAATAAAAAATATATGAAATATTAAAGATTTGCCTTTTATCCAGCAGCTTTTTAAATTTATTATAAACCCTATATTAATGCTTTGGAAAAAATATATTCTAGCAATCTCATTTGTCACATATTATTATTTTACAACAAAATCTTTTCACAACATCGAAGTTGTTTTTATTATTTTTATTATTAATATTCTTATTATCGAATACATAAATTATTATACAAATATCATGTTTATTATTCTAGCATATAATAAAAATTAATAAATTTAAAACAATCTACTATTAAATAATTTATGTTATATTTTCTGAAAGCTCGTTGGCAATTTTTTTTTAAAGTTTCACATTCTTCACAGGATTTTTTGTTAATTAAATCTTGTCGAAGTGTGAATAGTGATGCAATAATATTGTCAATTTTTGTTACATTATTGATATTTTCTTCAGACATCTAAAAAAAAAAATAATAGCTATTTAATAATTGTTTATGTAAACTTACATAAAAAGAAAAATAAAAAACTTTATCATTAAATAAGAACAAAAGGTTATAGTGCACATGTAAAGGCAAATAGTAGAAAGCATGGTCACTTATAACTCTACTATCTGTGCTTCAATGAAGTTTGCCTCCAGTTAGCGAATTGAAAGAAGCAAAAGTTCTTATATCTTAACTAGTATACAAATCATATAATTTTTTTTTTAAAAAAAAATAAAAAGATACTAACTTTTTTTTAAAAAATGTTCAGAGTAAAAATTGTATGCGATGTTTTTTTTATAAACAAAAAAGATTATCTTAAAAATAAATAAACAGATCGAATTTTCTGGTTCATTATTAAGTCACATGAATAAAAATTATTTTTAGCT